TAACCATTCAGAACATAGGCATGGGCAAAGACTTCATGACTAAAATACCAAAAGCAATGGCAACAAAAGCCAAAACAGACAAATGGGACCTAATTAAACTAAAGAGCTTCTGCACAGCAAAAGAAACTATCATCAGAGTGAACAGCAACCTACAGAATGGGAGAAAATATTTGCAATCTATCCATCTGACAAAGGGCTAATATCCAGAATCTACAAAGAACTTAAAACAAATTTACAAAAAAAAAAAAAAAAATCAAACAACCCCATCAGAAAGTGGGCAAAGGATATGAATAAACACTTCTCAAAAGAAGACATTTATTCAGCCCCCAGACACATGCAAAAATGCTCATCATCACTGGTCATCAGAGAAATGCAAATCAAAACCACAATGAGATACCATCTCATCCCAGTTAGAATGGCGATCATTAAAAGGGAAACTACAGATGCTGGAGAGGATGTGTAGAAAGAGGAACGCTTTTACACTGTTGGTGGGAATGTAAATCAGTTAAACCATTGTGGAAGATAGTGTGGCAATTCCTCAAGGATCTAGAACTAGAAATACCATTTGACCCAGCAATGCCATTACTGGGTATATACCCAAAGGATTATAAATCATGGTACTATAAAGACACATGCACATGTATGTTTATTGTGGCACTATTCACAATAGTGAAGACTTGGAACCAACCCAAATGTCCAACAATTATAGATTGGATTAAGAAAATGTAGCACATATACACCATGGAATACTATGCAGCTGTAAAAAAAGATGAGTTCATGTCCTTTGCAGGGACATGGATGAAGCTGGAAACCATCATTCTTAGCAAACTATCACAAGGACAGAAAACCAAACACCGCATGTTCTCACTCATAGGTGGGAATTGAACAATGAAAACACATGGACACAGGGCAGGGAACATCACAGGGGAGGGCGGCTGGGGGAGGTAAAGCATTAGGAGAAATACCTAATGTAAATGACAAGTTGATGGGTGCAGCAAACCAACATGGCACATGTATACCTACGTAAGAAACCTGCACGTTGTGCACATATACCCTAGAACTTAAAGTATAAAAGAAAATAAATAAAAAATAAACATACATCTATCATAAGACTCTGTAACACACTTTAGGGTAGTTATATAAGAGAAGCAAAGACATATGTCCACATCAAAATCTATATGCAAGTAGTTGTAATAACTATTCATAATTGCTCAGTACGGAAACAGCCCATATTTTCCATCAAGTGATGTAAAAACAAACTGTAGTACACAATGAAACAAAAAAACAAATACCACGTGTTCTCACTTACAAGTGGGAGCTAATTGATAAGAACACATGGATACACAGAGGGGAACACCACACACTGGGGCCTACTGGAGGGTGGGAAGAGCGGGGAAAATAACTAACAGGTACTAACTAGGCTTAATACCTGGGTGATGAAATAATATGTATGACAAACCCCCATGATGCAAATTTACCTATATAACAAACTTGCACATGTACCCCTAAACTTAAAAGAAAAAACAAAAATGAAATGAACATGCAACAAAATGGAAAAAACTCAAGTTAATTATAATTAGTGATAGAAACCAGATTCAAAAGGCTACATATACTATATGACTCCATTTATATGACATTCTGAAAAAGAAAAAATCTATAGTGGATGCTAAGGTTTGGTTATGGGCTGGAGAGGTAATTATAAAGAGGCATGAGGGAACTTTTTTGCATTACGGAATGTTTTATATTTTAATTGTGGTGGTAGACCCATTACTGTACACTTTGAATTAATTGCATACATCTGAATTGATAGTGTACAAAATTTTTTATAACTACACACCCAAAAAGAGTGAAAAATTTACTTTATGTAAATTTCACATCAATAAACTTGATAAATTCCTAATCACATCCTTCTGTTTAATCACAGACTTCTACAATCTATTTCTAGCTTTTCATACATTTTATTTTCTCAAAGCACTATATATGCAACACAAGGTCTTTCACTATGGCTAGTGAGTCACTGTTTTCAGTACATTTATTATTTCTTTCTTTGTGTAATTATAGAACATATGATATTAAAGCTTTTACCACTGATGTTAAGATTCTCACTTCCTGAGATGGTTTGGCTGTGCCCCCACCCAAAATCTCATCTTGAATTGTAATCCCCATAATCACCACATGTCAACGTGGGACCAGGCAGTGGTTACTGGATAGTGGGGGTGGTTCTCCCATGCTATTCTGATGATAGTGAGTTTCACGAGATCTGACAGTTTTATAAGCGTCTGGCAGTTCCTCTGCTTGCACTCACTCTGTCCTCCCACCCTGTGAAGAAGCTGCCTGCTTCTCCTGTGCCTTCTGCCATGATGGTAAAGTTTCCTGAGGCTTCCCCAGTCACGTGGAACTGTGAGTCAATTACCTCTTTCCTATATAAATTACCCAGTTTTGGGTATTTCCTCATAGCAGTGTGAGAACAGACTAATATAGTAAATTGGTACGGCAGAGAGTGGGGTGCTGCGATAAAGATACCCAAAAGTGTGGAAGTGACTTTGGAACTGGAAAAGGCAGAGGTTGAAATAGTTTGGAGGGCTCAGTAGACGATAGGAAGATGTGGGAAAGTCTGGAACTTATCAGTTTTGACCAAAATGCTGATAGTGATATGGACAATGAAGTCAAGGCTGAGGTGGTCTCAGATGGAGACAAGGATCCTGCTGGGAACTAGAATAAAGGTGACTCTTATTATGCTTTAGTAAAGAGACTGGTGGCATTTTGCCCCTGCCCTAGAGATCTGTAGAACGTTGAACTTGAGAGAGATGATTTAGGGTATCTGGCAGAGAAATGTCTAAGTAGTAAAGCGTTCAAGGTGTGACTGAGGTGCTCTTAAAAGCATTAAGTTTTATGCATTCACAAAAAGATGGTTTGGAATTGGAACTTATGCTTAAAAGAGAAGCAGAGCATTAAAGTTTGGAAAAAATGCAGCCTGATGATACAATAGAAAAGAAAAATCCATTTTCTGAGGAGAAATTCAAGTCAGCTGCAGAAATTTCCATAAATAACAAGCAGGTAAATGTTAATTGCCAAGACAATGGGAAAATGTCTCCAGGCATGTCAGAGGTCTTCAAGACAGCTCCATCACAGGCCTGGAGGCCTAATAGGAAAAAATGGTTTTATGGGGTGGCCCCAGGGCCTTGCTGCTTTGTGCAGTCTCAGGACATGGTGCTCTGTGTCCCATTCATGGCTAAAAGGGGCCAATGTACAGCTCAGGCTGTTGCTTCAGAGGGTACAAGCCCTAAGCCTTGGTGGCTTACACATGGTGTTGGGCCTGCGGGTACACAGAAGTCAAGAATCGAGGTTTGGGAACCTCTGCCTAGATTTCAGAGGATGTATGAAAACACCTGGATGTCCAGGCAGAAGTTTACTGCAGGGGTGGAGCCCTCATGGAGAACCTCTTGCTAAGGCAGTGCAGAAGGAAAATGTGGGGTTGGAGCCCCCAAAGAGAGTCCCCATTGGCACTGCCTAGTAGAGCTGTGAGAAGAGCGCCACAGTCCTCCAGATCCCGGAATAGTAGATACAACGAAAGCATGGACCATGAATCTGGAAAAACTGCAACACTCAATGCCAACTCATGAAAGCAGCTGGAAGTGGGGGCTGTACCTTGTATTGCCACAGGGTGAAGATGCCCAAGACCATGGGAACCCACCTCTTGCATCAGTGTAACCTGGATGTGAGACATGGAGTCAAAGAAGATCATTTTGGAACCTTAAGGATTAATGACTGCCCTACTGGATTTTACAGTGCATGGGGCCTGTAGCCCCTTTGTTTTGCCCAATTTCTCCCATTTGGAATGGGAGCCTTTATCTAATATCTGTACCCTCACTGCATCTAGGAAGTAACTAACTTGCTTCTGATTTTACAGGCTCATAGGTGGAAGGGACTTGCCTTGCTCAGATAAGACTTTGGACTTGGACTTCTGGATTAATGCTGGAATGGGCTAACACTTTTGGGGACTGTTGGAAAGGCGTGATTATGTTTTGAAATGTGAGTACATGAGACTCAGGAGGGACCAGGGATGAAATGATACATTTTGGCTGTGTCTCCATCCAAAATCTCATCTTGAATTGTTATCCCCATAATCCCCACATGTCAAGGGCAGGACCACGTGGAGGTTATCAGTGAGTGATAGTGAATGAGTCTCATGAGATCTGATGGTTTTATAAGAACCTGGCAGTTCCCCTGCTTGTACCCACTCTGTCCTACCACCCTGTGAAGAGGTGCCTGCTTCTCCTTTGTCTCCTGCCAGGATTGTAAGTTTCCAGAGGCCTCCCCAGCCATGAGGAACTGTGAGTCAATTAAACTTCTTTCCTTTATAAATAACCCATCTCAGGATTTCTTCATAGCAGTATGAGAATGGACTAATACACTTCCCTCTCATTTTTATAAAATAAGAACAAAAATAATAAGAATCTTCAAATAATTGCACAAACACTACCATGTTTATAGCTGCTTAAATAAAACTGTTGACAAGCAGGCACTGGCATCATAACACACACAAAAAAACCATTTTCTAGGTGACATGTTTAAATCTAAATCTGATGTGCAAAATGTGATAAAGAGATGTGAATGTATAATGTATAAAACAGATGACTTAGAAGAAAGTTAACATATATAACTTTAAGTGGGTTAACAAATCAAGTAAATCATAACAGAATAATAAAGAATAATAGTAACACTTAAAAAAATAGCAGCAGCTAATAGTAATTACTATATGTCACATGACATTTCTAAGTACTTTACAAAATTAAATCATTTAATGTTCACAATAACCCTATGAAGGTAGGTTAACTCTATTTTATAGATTTATAAATTAAAACATAACAAAGTGAAATAAAGTTGTCTAATGCCACAGAGTAGCAAAGCTGGATGTGAAGGATAAGAGAATACTAATATATAGAACACTTATGTATTAACAAACAGATATTCGGACAGCCATAAATTTCAATAGTCACCTTCTCTTCCAAGGTTTCACTTATAGATGTTGCTAGTTTCAATAGTTCTTCTGAATCTTGTTGGCATCTACAACTCAAAACAGAAAACCCTAACTTTAGTTTTCTCAACTGCCATAAACAGTAGGATATACTCAAAATTAAAATTTAGGAAATATATAAAAGAATGTGGGATTTTGCCAACAGGTAGCACAAAATGTTTTACTGATTTAAAGATGATTGACTTATAAATACATTACTTCAAAATCACACTTATATCAGTATATAAATAAGGTTAGTCTTTTTTTTTTTTTGAGACAGAGTCTCATTCTGTCACCCAGGCTGGAGTGCAGTGGTGCAATCTTGGCTCACTGCACCCTCTGCCTCCTGGTTCAAGTAATTCTCGTGCCTCAGCCTCCCAAGGAGCTGGGATTAACGGCATGCACCACCATGCCTGGTAATTTCTGTATTTTTAGCAGAGACAGGGTTTCGCCATGTTGGCCAGGCTGGTCTCAAACTCCTGGCCTCAAGTGATCCACCCACCTCGGCCTCCCAAAGTCCTGGTATCACAGGCGTGGGCCACCACACCCAACCCCAAGATTTAATCCAAAATACAAAAAGTAAAAACCTTCTGCAACAGTAGTCTGACTTAACAGGGTATAAAGTTAAAAAAAAAGTTACTATGGATTAATAATTCAATAATTCTCAGAATTTTTTTGTTGTTTTAAAAAGCTTTAATTTTTAAAGGCTTCAAAGTGGGAAAATTCACATTTAGTATGATTCCACTTTTAAAACCAATTTCTCCACTCCCACCAGGAAAAGGACTAGAAAGTCATAATAAATCTTTACACAGCTTGGCATATCTATTGGTATTGTAATTACAAAGGGCATAGTTTTTAAATTATAATTTCTGAACTACTACTTTTATAGAAAGGAAAATATTTATTTTTAAACTTAAAACATTACCCAACATTTGGCTTGCGACTGTATTTCTCCTGAAACTGGTCCAAGGCAAGCATAGCTGTGTGAATCTCTAAAGGTGCCTATTAAGAACATTAAAAATTGGCCAACATTTACTGAGTGCTTGTATGTCCCAGGCACTGGGCTAAATGCTTTTAAAACATTATTTAACCATCACAATAAACACATTAGCTTAATACTATTATTAACTCTATTTAACAAATAAGAAACCTGAAGGTTAGAAGTTAAATGACTTAACCTCAAGGCCATGAAGGTAAATGATTTAATCCCCTTTCCTTATTAAAATTTACAAATTTGGAAACTGTTAGTTCCTTCCTTATCACATTTCCTGCTATAAAATTACATCCATTTAAAAAAAAAATAGAATACATACTCAAAGCTTTTTTGGTAAGAAATATGCATTATATAAAAATGGTACGATTCAGAAAATCTTTTAATAAGATCACTTATACAAGTTATTGAAATCGTCTTTTAATTATCAAAGTTGGCAAATCATTATAAAAGTGAAACTTTTTCCTATTACTTTAACATTTTTTCTATGATACACATTCCCATTTTTAATCCTCGGAAGTCAACTTTTGATATGTGAGTATAACCTTTAATATACTCACATTATAAGGCCTAACAGTAAGATATCTACATGGTTATTCCATTTTAACTTTATAATCACTCACTAATTCTCATCTGATTCTGCTGCCTCTCTCAAACCTGTGTTTATTTACCTCAGGTTTGCTAAAATCCACAATAAGGCACTTTGGATGTTTTATCTGCCTCTCCAGTGGCTCCTGATATGGAAAAAAAAAAAAATCATTACTTCAGAGTAAGTGAGTGATTATTGGACAAAATATACTGCTATATGTCAGTGCACTAAAAACCAGGGAACTCTCCCAAGGGTCTGAAATAAGTAGGGTTGGGCTGATATGTTTTAACTGAAATAGAAACTAGCTACCACTCTTATGACAATACTTAAAAAAAAAAAAAGTTAAAAGCAATAAAACAACCTGCTCCACACAGTAAATTTGGGAACAATTAGTAAAAATATTTGCATACCTAAAAAAATTTATTATTTTAATCTAAAAGCTACCATATCTTTCTAATACCAGGCTATCAAGACTTATTAAATTCTGTATGAAGAACACAAAGGCAAAAGAAACAAACAAACAAAAACCAAAATATCCACCCAATCTAAAATTGAGACATATCCAATTAAAACTCGGAGACAAAGCACAAGGAGATATGCAGGAGCACATCTGACTAGATATATTATTTTAATTTTTTTTTAATTCTAACTTTGAGTTGAACAAAGCCTTGTAAATGACTAGAGTTGTTAATAGTTCTGGAAAAGAAAAGGCAATTACGTTAAAACCTTGAGAACTTGTAAGAAAAAACAGAGATGTGTTAGCTTATCCTGAGAAGGAGCCCAAGGATTTTAGTTGCACAAGATCCCTTAGTTTCCTGACACTACATTCTCTATATTCAGCTATTTACATTTTCCTTTCAATGCCAGTCGTTTTTAGAAATTATTTTACATTTCCAACATATATACTGTTTTCTGAAATTTATAAAATTAAATTAAATTTTAAAAACCAGGATTAACAAGTATAATTTGAATATCTTCATTTTAGAAAATTAAATAATAATAAAGTAAAACAACCTCTTGCTAAATCTTGAAAATACATTAGTTTTATTTCTTGTCTTAGAAAGTAAATTGTAATAAGTATGATAAACTCTTTGATAATTCACAAAGGTATAGTTCCTTTCGGGTATACCCATTTAGCTCAACTATATGCATATGGTATTCTGGCTATAAAAGATGCGTAAATTTTTTGTTAATATCCATTTTATTCATTTATTTCATTAGATTAATTCCATTTCCCTCAAAGCAGGTACAAACGAAAAAAAAAAAATCCGTTTCACATTTAACCTGTTTGGTTAACTGAGTAATTTCATTGTCTCTTCTGCCTTTCTTTTTCTGTGAAGAAATATTTTTTAAGCAGAAAAAAAAATACTTACAAAGAAAACTGTTTTAGGAGTCTTAACTTGGACAGCTATGCCTCCATGTAAATATGGTTCCAGTTCTGTAGTGTCACCAATACTAAAAGAAAATGGCGATATCACTAGAAGAAAAAAAATTTAAAAATTACACGGGGAAACAGATATTTAAATTTCAACTCTTATTGTCATAAAATGTTAATTATTCCCAATTTACAAAATTAAAAAATTCCAGCATAGTGGTTTTTTGTTCGTTTGTTTGTTTTTTAATGAAGAGCTGGGAGGAGTATGGGGACCTAGACAGAGTGTTTTTTCCAATGTGAAACTCCAGGACTTAAAAATAACGAAGGAAACTTATAGAAAAAGAGTAATGAGGGCTACTCATTATTAGATATTAAAATATATCATAAAGCCTCAATAACATAATAACAACTACCTATCATAATAATATAATATGGTACTGGTTAATAAACAGACAACTGGAAAAGATCAGAGAATTCAGAAACAGTCTCAAGTACACAAAGGACAAAATCAAGGTGGCACCTCAATCAGTAAGGAAAAGATAAGATCGATTATTCAATAAATCTGATACAGAAAAAAGACATCTGGGAAAACACCTATTGCAAATGGACAAAAGTTTTAAGTGTCAAAAAAGACGCTAACAATTTCTTAGATAAAAGCATGAGAGAAAAATTTCTTTAAAACCATGTAGTAAGGAAGGCTTTTCTAAGTAATACTCTAAATAAAAACCATAAAAGAAAATAATTAAAATTTGATTATGAAAACATAAAAAAGAAAACCTCATGACAAAAACCCATCATAAGCAACATCAAAAGATAAATGGCAAACCAGGAAAATATTATGCTCTGTCTGGGCATGGTGGCATGTGCCTGTAGTCCCATCTAATCAGGAGGCCAAGGAAGCAGCATCACTTGAACCCAGTAGACTGTAGTGTGCTAAACTGTACCTTTGAATAGCCACTGTACTCCAGCCTGAATAACAAAGTGAGACCCTCATTTCTTAAAAAGAAAAAACATGGTCTGATAACATTTTCATCTATATTATGACATATTAGGTAGCTATAAAAGAAAATTTAAAGGAAAAAAAAAAGGACGTTCTCCAATTACTAATGAGAAAAGATCACAAATATATTTTGTTTAATAAAAAGATAAAGGACAGCACTATGTATAATGTGCTTCCTTCTGTGTTAAAAACAAACAAACAAACAAATACACAATAAACTAAGACTAACAGTTACCTGTGGTAGTGGATGAGAACTGTGAGGGTGAAATCAAGTTTGGGCAGAACACTTTTCATTGTAAACATTTACTGTTTCTCATTTCTGAACCATTTGGTTATTCAAAAAATTAAGTTAAAAAAACCAAGTAAGCCCTCCCCTTTACTTAATATATTATATAATACAGGCATCTATACTATATAATATGTAATATATACTATATATGTGTATATATAATAAATATATAAAGTAGACAGAATGGTCAGCAGAGTGAACACCAAACTTAGCTGCTGTTACCTCTGGAGAGGAAAGGAAGTCTGAAGTAAAATTCATTTTTAGCCCTATTTAAACATATACACATACATATATATCTAGAATAAGTTTGTATTATTTTAGCTATTTAACAGTGTTTTTTGGCTGGTCATGAGGTTTTTTTGATCTTCATGCCTGTAATTACAACACTTTGGGCAGCCAAGGGGAAAGGTTGACTTGAGCCCTGGGGTTTGAGACCAGCCTGAGCAACATAGAGATCTTGTCTCTACAAAAATAAAAAAAGTTAGCCAGGTGTGGTGGCACATGCCTGTGGTTCCCAGCTACTTGGGAGGCTGAGGTGGGAGGATCACTTGGGCCCAGGAGGCTGAGGCTACAGTGAGACACGATCATGTCACTGCACTTCAGCCTGAGCAACAGAGCAAGATGCTATCTCAAAAAAAAAAAAAAAAAAAACAGACAAAAAAAAAAAACATCTTTTCATGCTAGCAGAGTATTACTTTAGATCAGTAGGTAGCAATTTATAAATGTTAAGGGAAAAAAAAGCTTCCTAACAGCCACTCTAAACTTACTCATCTCTCCCTCCAAAGAATTATTGGCACAAAATGTGGGTTTTCTTTCTCTTTGTTTCTTGACATGCAGTGGCTCCTCTTTATATAAGCAGCCTCATAATCTGAACCTTCACCACAATTCACCACAACATGGACCCCAAAATTACAAATAATAAACCTAAATGATTAATTTTAATAAAAATAGACATGAATATATATGATCTGAATCTGTATTTAAAATAATTAGATGTAATCAGGAAACAAAATCAAATAGTTTTGTTATACAACATGCACGCTAAAATTACAAATAATCCTAAATGATTAATTTTAATAAAAACAGACATATTCTTTAATATCTATGATCTGAACCTGTATTTAAAATAATTAGATGTAGCTGGAAAAAAAAATCAAATAGTTTTGTTATCAAAAATACTTAAATATATATTCAAAGTTGTTTATCTATAAACAGTTTGTAATAAGAATTGATTTTTCCCTCTCCTGAGGATATATTTTGCTGTCATTAAAAAAAAGTAATTCCATTTACTGTCTATAAATTAAATACATAGTTATATTTTCAAATGCCCTAAAGATAAAACTGCATCAATTTTCCCTAAATATGTGTAAGCATGCCATATAGTTATGGCTTGTCCAGTACTGTCTTTGACTCTTTTCAACGTGGCTGAAGGAAAAACACAAACTACGCAGATTAACTCTGCTATAAATTCATTATATTAAACTTCAAATGGGCCCTATATGATGCCTGACATCTTTCCATTTTCAAGAATGTCTACTTTCCTCCTGGTTTTGGCACCTTTCATTGCCTTTTGGCAATGCCTTCACATTAGTCCAATGAAAAAACAGACTCCTTCAACTGCTTGCCAACAAACCTACAAACTTGCCTGCAGACATGACATTCACCCCTTTTATTCAAGCCACTGAACAAGAACATATATTCCAACCAACATCTAGACATCTTCCTTTAAATACTTCATTGCTACCTCATTTTACAAAGCTAAACTATACTCTTTATCTACAAAACCTACTCCTTTTCTTGCATTCCTTAAGTGAATATGTTGACTGACCAGGTAGAAATCTTCATTCACCTATAGTATGTGATCAAGTTTCTTTCTAAATATCTTAAGATTAAGACTCATGAGTTCAATTCTCCCTGCCAGCCCTGCTGTATTAATTTCTTGTAGTTCCTTTAGATCTGTCTTGTATCTGAGCCTTTTCTGTTTGTCTCTGCATAAATAATCTTTTTTCAATACCTTCCTAAGCCAATGCAACTTTCACATTTTAATCAAGACACCCTGGCCCATTGCTGCTGTCCCAAAACTGGGTAGGTTTCCTTGCTAAGTTTGGTGTCACCAAAATGGGTATATTCTCTTAACATCATCAGTGTTTAACAAAGTCTTCACTTGGATTGAATATTTTGAGGCCAAGGGCTTTACATCATGTCTCTTTGAGTTGACGTTCTGTTCCCAATACTAAGTGTAGTGTCTGAACTATAAATTTGCTGAATAAGTATAAATGAATTAAGAAAACACATTGACTTACCCGTTATTTGTTGTATAGATCCATTTAAACCTGTCATTCCATTAATTTCTCGAAATGTTAGGAATTGTCCTGTCTCCAGTTTGTGAGGATGATTTTCAAGGCAAGTAACAATGCCAGGATTTGCCTAAAAATAAGAGTACTCTATTAAAAAAGAAGTTCATATATTCTTGGTGTACAAATTGAAATCTTAAGCAAAAATGACAAAGTTATCATAAAATTCTCAAAACCAAAATTCTACGCTATTCTTCTGTTAGTAAAAGCAAGCCTTTAAAAAGCGATCACAAAATAATGATCAAATTATTACTATTTTTTAAATGAATGCTGAAAATATAATTTCTATGTTTGGTAGGAGATGTGCAAAGATTCCACAGAAAAGATCAAATATTTAATAGATTCAAAAACTCCTGTAACTTGTAAAAAACATTCCAAGTTATCTAATAGTTTTAAATGTGAGAAAAAACCCATGGGCATAAATGATAAAAGCCTGACACTGAAGATCAAAGAATAGTAAAGAAGGAGGATAGAAATTTTAAAGATGGGAATCTGGTAGTTTACAACTTGCTCAATGCTTTAAAGAAATATTGTGTAGCTTATCAGCTACATTTCCTATAGTATTCAATAAAAGATAACACCAATGCAATAAGAATCCACACCACATTTTGGAATTTATTCTCTGTTTTTCTCAGGGACAAACTAAAATCAACTAGAGAAGGTAAAAGGTTAAATAGTAATATGCCTGAAAGAGTAACTCAGGTAGAATAATAAATCACTCTGTAAGCAGAAAGATATACAGATTGACTTTTCAATAAATTTTTCTTAAAAAGGCATGAGAGAGAGAGAGTACTGGGTCTCTATCACCATGAGATTACACTGGGTTTAAAAATAAAGTATAAAAACAAGAAATACGAATTACAAATACTAGTATGTTAAAGTATATTATCATTCCCTTATTTTGTCTTCTTTTGGACTTCAACGTAAGTTGATTATAAAGAATACAAACAAAGTAAATTATTTGTGTAAAAGAATAGTAAAAGGGGATCATAATGATTTCTCCGGTTCTTTTATGGAATAAAAAATTGAGCTTATGCATGATCAAGAGTGTGGTTAGAAAATTCAGACTTTTGAATTTGAAGGTTAATCAAAATTTTCTATACCTTCTAAATAATGCTTTAGAAATATAACAAATTAGAAATGCTTTTCTCTAATATGATTTAAGTGTGCCTTTTTATAGTATTAGACTAGGTGACTTACAACATACTTAGTGCATCCACTATCTAACACAATAAACAATTCAGTAAACACTGAATCACAATTCATGACCCACAGGAGGTAACAGAGAATAAAATTAAAATTAAAATTTATGACAAGCAAATGTTGCTCTATCAAGTATTATTATTATTTTTTTTCTTTCTTTATTTTTGAGATGTGGTCTCACTCTGTCACCCAGGCTGCAGTGCAGTAGCGTGATCTTGGCTCACTGCAACTTCCGCCTCCCAGGTTCAAGTCATCCTCCCATCTCAGCCTCCTGAGTAGCTGGGACCACACACCACCATGCCCGGTTAATTTTTTGTATTTTTGGTAGACATGGAGTTTCACCATGTTGCCCAGGTTGGTCTCAAACTCCTGAGCTAAAGTGATCCACCCCTGTCAGCCTCTAAAAGTGCTGGGACTGTAGGCATGAGCCTCCGTGCTTGGCCCTATCAAGTATTATTTGTTAGAGGAACTCCAGAATATTTTTAACAATTAATATTCCAGTTTTAATTTAGTTTTAATATAATGAAGTCAAGAAATTAGCTACATATTCCCTCATTATCTTAAAACACTATAAAAGAAATTTTACATACTGTAATACTTTGCTGACACCGCCTTTTTGAAAATAGCATTCACATCAACTTTAACAAAATTTATTTTAAAAGTTCATTAATATAATCATACTTGCGTTATGTTTGAAATGAAAATTTCTTTTGGTTCTTCTCCTGTTGCATCTAAAACTTCAAATTCATCACCAAAATCACAAAATAACCTTGACCAAATTCCATGTACATCTGCACTGATAAACTGTAAAATGGCAAAAACAAGTTCAAGCTTATTTATATAAAGAAAAAAAAAAACTCTACTCTCCTAGCCCATTTCATGACAATTTCATTTATAATTAAGTATACCCTGTAGAACCTATAGAATACAAAGTAAATAATAAACAGGATAAACTGATGTAGACTGGTTTAGGAATCAAAGATTTTCAGTACTTTTAGTAAATGAATGTCCAGTACAACAAAATAAGAATATCAGCATATCATATTTAAAAATTCTATGACTTTTAAATAACAAAAATTCTGTGATTTTAAAATTTTGTGCTTGTCACAAAATTCAGGCACAACATAAAAGAAACAGATACTTTGGCTTAATAGTCCAGCACTGAATTCTTACTTGTTATTTTAGGAAAGAGGAATGAAGTGCTCATTTACCCAAAGCAGCAGAGTTAATGGAAAATAGAATAGAGCTAAAAGCTGAGAGCAGAGTCTACAGAAAAAAAGGCTGAAAAACTGACACCACAAATCAAAGCCATGAAAGGTAAAATATTAAGTTCTTAAATCACAAATGTTTTATTAAAAGCAATTTTTCTAACACATGCATTGTCTCCATTCTGAGAATTTGCAAATAAATTATTTTTGGGCTTAAAGCTATTTTTAGAGCTACTGCTAATAAAGAGAGATCCTTATTCTGTAATGCACCCAATCTTGCATAAAATAATGTTTTTCTAACATAATTAAGTATATTGATATTATGATATAAGAACATATTAAAATAATTTATAATCCCAATTACATGAAGTAGTGATACAGATAACAGAAGACCACTTCCCACTTGATCATATGTTGACTTTAGTGATCAAAATGGGTACATATAGCATTTTTTTTAACAAGACATAAAACCGGACAGAAACTTAGAAGCTTTTTTTTAAAGTTTAACTCTAAAGAATATATAAATTACGTAAACAAATATTTTAATTTATAACCTTGTGTAGTTATTTTGTAACACTTCTGTGCCCTATTGTAAGTTCACTGGCTATTCTGTCTTAATCACATGCTTAAATTGTAAACCACAGCACAAATGCTCTACAGAGCATAAATATGCTATGTAAATACCACAATCCAAAAATTTTCAACACACCTACATCATAAATTACGATTTTTGACTTAGCGCCTAACTCAAAGAAACAATTAGCTTTTTCCTTTTTCCAGTGAAACAATCCCCAAAACAAAAGAGATGAGGTTAATAATGAATTCAATTACAAGCGAAGAACTGTGATTTTTTCCATCTAAACCTCTTCCCAATGTCACTGTGCACCTAATTATGCTGGAGATTTAAAAATCTATGAGTCATTCTTGCTCACTCACTCTTTCCTTCACAACTCATTCATCTATCTACAAGTTCTGTTAGGCCCCCACCCCATCCTGCCCTTTTTCTTAAACAAAAGACACCTCAAATTCAATGACTTCTGTCTCTCTCTATTCCCAAGTCTTCTATCTAAGATACCAGCATCTCTCAGCTGAACTACTGCAGTAACTACTAACTAGTCTAGCTGCCTCTACTTTACTCTTATAATCCAACAGTTCTATTTCTTTTGGTTATCTTTCATGACCCCTTCATACTCTTAAAAATTATTGAGGACCCAAAGAGCTTTTGTTTATGTGAGTTACACCTATCAATATTTACTGTGTTAGAAATTAAAACTGAGAGAAATTTAAATCACAAGAATATACACATTCCATTGTCAGAGCAAGGATATCACCACACATCATATAGACTCTGGAAAACTCCACTCTGCCTCCTAAGATAATCAGAATGAAAAAGGCAAATAACATCTTAGTAATATGAAAACAAGAAGTTTGACTGTGTAGAACCACTGTAAGGGTCTGAGGGATTCTTAGTGTCCCTGGATCACCCTTTGAAAAATACAATTATAGTCTTCTCTCCATACAGCAAGCCATAGTGATCCTTTAAAAATATAAAACAGATTAAAACTCACAGGCCTAAAAACTCAAAATGTCTTCAAAGATCTTATAACGTATGGCCCCAACCTACTTCTCCCAAACTAATCTTCTGGTATATTTTACTCCTACTATCTTCTCCTCTTTACCACTCTGTTTTGGTCCTGCTTGCCTCTTACTGTTCCTCAAAACCACCAACCTAATTTTTACACTTGCAAATGTTTACATTTGCTGATTCCCCTGCTTTGAATGCTTTCCCCCAGATCTTTATATAGCCTGTTCTTTCTCATTATTCAGGGCTCTATTCAAACGTCATCTCCTTAGTGAAGACTTCTCTAATCTTCTAATCTAAGAGAACCAGAACTGGCCCTTCTCCCTACATCATGCAGTTATCATTCTCTATTTTTCTTTATTCAGATTTTTTTTCTTCACAGGACTTGAAACTATTTAAAAACACATGATGTATTTATTTTCTTGTTTATTGTACATCTTCCCAGGCAGAAGGTAATTTTCATGAGTAAGAAAATTTGTCTCTATTCACTAATGTATTTCTAATGGCTGTAACTATCTCCAGTACATAGATAATCAATGAATATTCATTGAATGAACCACTGGACTTCTAGAAAATCAGCACCATAATAACATTTAAAAATAAAGGCTGGGCGCAGTGGCTCACCTGAGGTCAGGAGTTCGAGACCAGCCTGGCCAACATGGTGAAATCCTGTCTCTACTAAAAATACAAAAAATTAGCCACGCATGGTGGCGGGCACGTGGAATCCCAGCTACTCGGGGGGCTGAGACAGGAGAACAGCTTGAACCTGGGAGGTGGAGGTTGGGGTGAGCCAAGATCGTGTCACTGCACCCCAGCCTGGGCGACAGAATGAGACTCTGTCTCGAAAAAAAAAAAAAAAAATTAGATGATGATTTCAATGTTTATCATCCTTTCCATTCCTAACATTAATTCTTCCTTAGTTTTGGCAATCTGTCTATAAACCAAACTTAGATCCTAGTTTTAAAAACAGGAAATGAATATATCAAAATTAATGAAAAAAATCTTATTGTTATTATTATGTAAAAAGTTTCTTATACAACCCATCAATAAGTTAAAAATTCTAGTAGAGAAAGTGGTTAACTACATGTCATTACTAAATGATACAATTACCTTAATTGGAGGGCACTGAGAACGGCAAAAGTCATTGATCTTCTTCTGCAATGGAAGTTTCATCTCAGTCAATACTACACACTGTTGAGAAAACAACAAATTAAAAACTAGAAAATACGTAATTATTTTTGTAATATACAATAATCAGAAGCATGTCAGTTTGCACTGTGCTAAAGACACATCACTAATATCACTGAAAAGTTACAATCCTATGGAATTCCATTCCAAGGTTAATACCTTCACAAAGTACAGATAACAAAAGTAAAAATAACATATACAGGGGAAAACCTGCACACATAAAACTTGATAACCATCGCAGGCTTTACGATTAGAAGCAAACCTTAATATTCTATGTGGTATTTATGGACTCTAAGTGATTAGATTTGTTTCATCTATTACTATCACACAAATACTAACCTAGCTACTAGAGTATTACTTTCATGCTAGCTTAAAAACCTGACAACATTTTTAAGAGACACATTAGTTGGCTACTAGAACAAGTCCATCTGTGGATTTAGTTTTTTTAAATCTAGCTTGCAATATGGTTTGCTTCCTGTAGGGAGACATTCCTCCATGGGTCTCTCGTCCATACAGTCTCACAACGTATGCCATGAATGCAAGGTCCTTACCACTCTTTACTTGAGGTCATTTCTCAGAATTGTATTTGCTGTGTAAAAACTTGAGGGATGAGGTAAGATCTTCCTCAGGGATAAAGGGACGTCTTAGCTTGCTTTAAAACAGCCAGTTCCCCAAGCTCAGCATTCTTCTCTAAAAAAACCTACTACATGTGCAGGCATTCACTGAGCCCTCTGCCTTGAACTAGAGGGACTTGGGGGACAGGGGGCGAGGAAGAAAATGCAATATAATGCTCATGTTTTTTATTATGCACTGAGTAATAAACTTCTTAGTGTCTGACCCAGGAATCTCATATTTCCTGCATCTGTGAAACAGTAACAGGCTAGGTTGCAAATAATAAAAAAATCAAAGACTACACCCAACACATACTGAAACTGATTTGAGTTTTATCAATGTTAGAAAATTCTCAGCCGTACTTTCTTTGAATATTGCCCTTTTCTATTGCTATCTATTGCTATCTAGAAATCCAATCTCATAAATTGGACCTTTTCATTCAAGCTCTCATTTATTTTAATTTGTCCATAGTATTTTCTCTTATTTCTTTTTGGGGTTTTTTTTGTTTGTTTGTTTGTTTGTTTGTTTTTTTGAGACACAGTCTCACTCTGTCGCCCAGGCTGGATTGCAGTGGTGTGATCTGGGCTCACTGCAAAACCACCTCTGTATCCTAGGTTCAAGCGATTCTCCTGCCTCAGCCTCCCCAGTAGTTGGGATTACAGGCACACGCCACCATGCTCAGCTAATTTTTGTATTTTCAGTAGAGACAGGGTTTCGCCATGCTAGCCAGGCTGGTCTAAAACTCCTGACCTCAGGTTTTCTGCCCGCCTCGGCCTCCAAAGTGCTAGGATATTTTCTTTATTTCTATGTGCTATAGTTTTGGTAATTTCCTCAGGTCTATCTTTCAATTCACTAATGTTTATTCCAGCTATTATCTATTTACTGTTTAATCTATCCAATGAAGTCAAAAATTAAGACTTAAAAAGTCTTAATTTTTAAGACTTCATGTTCATTTCCATAAGTTGTACCTCATTCTTTATCACATCTGCCTGGTCTTTTTCAATATTATGTATTTAATAACTTCTTTTGAGATTTAGTAGTTTTGAACATCTGTATTTTATAATTTCTCAAACAAATCTATTCTTCTAAATCTTGGAGGTTTAGGCTGGGCATGGTGACTCACACCTGTAATCCCAGCACTTTGGGAGGCCAAGGCGGGAGGATCACCTGAGGTCAGGAGATCAAGACCAGCCTGGCCAACATGGTGAAACCCCATCTCTACTAAAATTACAAAAATTAGCGGGGCATGGTGGCATGTGCCTGCGATCCCAGCTACTCGGGAGGCTGAAGTAGGAGAATCGCTTGAACCCAGGAGGCAGAGGTTGCAGTGAGCCCAGACTGTGCCACTGCACTCCAGCCTGGGAGACAGAGCAAGACTCCAGAAGAAAAGAGAGGAGGGGAGGGGACGGGAGGGGAGGGGATGGGAGGGGAGGGGAAGGGAGTGGAGGGGACGGGAGGGGACGGGAGGGGACGGGAGGGGAGGGGAGGGGAGGGGAGGAGAGGGGAAGGGATGGGAGGGGAGGGGACGGGAGGGGAGGGGACGGGAGGGGAGGGGACGAAAGGAAAAGAAAGGAAAAGAAAAAAGAAAAGAAAAAGAAAGAAAGGAAAAGAAAAGAAAAGAGAAAAGAAAAGAAAAGAAAAAGAAAAAGAAATAAATAAAAATTCTTTGAGGTTTAATAGTTTGTTGACTCTTGGTCATAATGAGCTGCTTTTTTTCCCATCTTGTTATTTTGTACTGTGAACTCAAAGGGACTTTATATACTGGAATACTCTGTAAGTTAGTTGAGGGTATACTTCTCAAGATTTGTTTAGTTTTGTTTTTGTCTGGCACTTTAGGGCATGGCCATTATAGTACTACCTTTTATCGTAATTTTTTTTTTTTGAGATGGAGTTTTGTTCTTGTTGCCCAGGCTGGACTGCAGTGGCGCAATCTTGGCGCAATGCAACCTCTGCCTCCCGGGTTCAAGCGATTCTCCTGCCTCGGCCTCCCAAGTAGCCGGGATTACAGGCATTTACTACCACACCTGGCTAAATTTTGTATTATTAGTAGAGACAGAGTTTCTCCTTATTGGTCCAGCTGGTCTCAAACTCCTGACCTCAGGTGATCCGCCCACCTTGGCCTCCCAAAGTGCTGGGATTATAGGTGTGAGCCACTGCGCCCAGCCTGTAGTACTACTTTTTACATTAAGTTCTCAGTTTAGGAATTTCCAGATCACAAAAGATTATAAAGTTTAATCTCTAAACCTATGTGACAGCAAGCCTGTGGTTATGAATTCCCCAGGAAAACCTTTACTTTTCATCCAGAGCTCAAGAGAAAACAGACAAGCTGCTTGTTCTGATTGTTAAAGACTGTTCTTGTCCACCCTTTCACTTAGGGCATAGCTCTCTGAGGCTCCAGCTTTATGAAGAAGGGGAGGTCTCAATTCCATTTCTCTAGTTTATGTAGTTCTAGGTCTGAATCTTCTGTTTCTACGTGAACATCAATTACCAAGAACTTTGGTTACTGTGACAGACAACTCCTGTTGCTAAGAGTAACTACAGATAATAGTTCACTAGTCTTTTAGCTAACTGTTCATTTGTGGCCTCTGAGCATTTTCCTAACATTATTTTGAGCTTGGATAGTCATTTAAAAGAAAGTCTGTTTAGAAATTCTAGAAAGTCTGTTCAGAAAGTCTGTTTAGAAATACATAAACAGATTTTCCTAACATTATTTTGAGCTTGGATAGTCATTTAAAAGAAAGTCTGTTTAGAAAACTAGGTGCCTTGTACCAGGATGAATTTTAAGTTATCCAGTCCAGAATAGAAATCTATAATCATTTTTAAATGGGTAACAGCATAATTTATTCACAGAAAAAAAAAAAATTCAGGGTCAACCTAGTCACTTTTGCAATATACAATGTCCTGGGAATTTTGTTGTTGTTATTTAAGGAATTGTTACCTATAATAGACTGAACTACTGATCCATGTATTTTTACTCCCCTGTAATTGTACTGCCCTGTAATTGTACTCCCCTGTAATTGTACCCATGGCTTTAGGAAGAGTACTTTTCTGCTTCTTGACTTCAGGCTTGATAACGTTGACTTGCTTTGGCTGACAGGATGTTAATAGACATAACAAAAACAGAGGCTTGAAATGTGCATGTGTGTCTGGACTTGACCTTCTGTTTCTGCTACTACCATGAGAACATGACCTAGGTAGCCTCCTGGTCCCAGAAGAGAGACACATGGAGGAGAACCAAACTCTGGAGTTTAATCCAGGCTGAGTTCAGCCTAGAAACCCCAACTGACATTCAGGTACATAGGAGAGAAATAAATGCATGTTGGTATAAACCAAAGTTTTGAGTAGTTTTCAATGGATATTACTGAGAAAAAAGTCAACTGATAAAACTACTTTGTCAGTAGTTCTTAGGTCCCTTCCTTAAAATGGAGAATTTGAAAGGTTTTATTCTGATATGTCTTCTACCTTGAAATTTTTTTGTTCTGTTTCTCAATACACTAGGTTAAATTAGTTAAACATATTAATACTTAACAATTTCGCCCTGGAATCTGTCAATAACATTTAATACAAAATGGAGTACTAACCTGGTATTTGTCTAAAAAGGAGAGATCTGTGGTCTCATTGAAAGGAACAGAAGATGATGTGACATGAACATATGGATTTAGTTCTGCAATATGTTTAAGCACAGCTTCAGCCCTAAAAAAATAAAATAAACTTTTACTGTCCTTTCATTCAATATACTCAAATCTCTTCAAGCTGGACACTGTAATGACATCAGAGGAACCTGACAAGTTACAAAATTTCAATGGAAACTTACCTTGTAGAAGAAAGAAACCAAGACTTACTTGTCTTTACAGATAACTATACAATCTTGAAATAATATACTATCATATTCCACAGTAAACCACACAATCTCAAAGTGTACCCTAATAGTTCTAAGCTCCAGGCTCCTTAACTTTCTTAATATTTTAGCAACACTAAAGTCTTTCTTTAATAAATTCAAGGAAATACATTTCTAGGTAGCAGTGTAATATATATAAAATATATATTTATATGTAATATATATTATATAATATATACTACATAAATATATAAAAAATTTGACAAATACAAAAAATTAAGTATATACCAGCATTTCTTTAGCCATAGTAGTATGAATTTATGGTGATCAATTAAACAACTATGACTGACTGGTGTTCTAGATAAAGGAAATATTCTAAGTAAACGAGTAAAAAAAAACCTCATAATACACAAAAATATCTTTAGCTGTATAAATATAAGGTAGAGACTTTATATTTAAACAACTATGACTGACTGGTGTTCTAGATAAAGGAAATATTCTAAGTAAATAAATTTTAAAAAACTCATGATAATACATCAAAATATCTTTACCTGTTTCTCTTATTAACAACATCATCTTCACTGAGAAAGAAGTTGGTTCCTAGATCCCATGCTTGGCATTTTTCTGTATCATGAATTGTAAGTGCCTTCAAAGAAGAAAAAAGTATTGGTTGAAGTCAGGAGTTCAAGGATATTCAGTCTCTCTAGTACTATCAACAATGTACTAGAATTATTATTTTGTGTAATTAGATAATGAAAAGTACGCAAAGGCATAAGAATTAGAAAGGATATAAAATTAGATATATATACATCTGGAGACCCCAATAAATTGATAGAAAAATTTCCTTAAACATGAAGATAATTTAAATTTATAAAAGTATCATGTTATAAAAATCAACACAAAAATCCAAAAAATTCATGTAAACAAACACTTCAAAATATTCCATGTTTCAAGTAAGAAAGATAATTAACAAAGTGGAAAAAAATACTTGTAAATTATATCACAGGCTACAAACCTCGTAGAAAGAGGAACATAAACAAGGACCATACTGAAAAAAGGACCATACTGAAAAAAGACATGGTCCTTGAAAATATGTAAAGATGTTCAACCTTGCCAAGAAATGAAATAACTTTTCTCACTTGTTAGATTGGCATAAATCCACAGTTTGACAACACAGTCTATTGGTGAGGGTGAGGTGAATCAGTGACTCTCATATATTACTGATAACAATGTAAAGTGGCTCAACCTCAAAGGAAAGGAATTTGGCAATCTCTAGCAAAAAGATATCTGCATTTATTCTGTGATGCAGCAATCCCACTTTTAGGACTCTATCTCAAAGACACACTGGGAAAAATACAAAAAGATAAATATGCAAGAGTATTAAATGTAGCACACTATTAGTAAGAGCAAAAGACTGGAAATAATCAAAAAGCCCACCAATGGGGAACTGGCTATAAGATGATACATCCATACAATGCATAATCATGCAACTATTTAAAAAAAAAATGAAAGATGTATTTATAAATATGGAGTAATCTCTAGGATATGCTGTAAAGAGATAGCAAGGTAAAGAAGAGCACTTTATATGAGAAAGGTGCGAGAAGATAAATATATATACCCACACATAAACAGATATACATGTTTGTGTGTATGCATTTACCTATCTACAAAAACAAATGAAGAATAAACCAAATATAAAAAGACAGTAACCTAGTAAGTGAAGGAGGAAATAAGGTAGCAAGAAGCTAGACTTATCTGAAAATACTTTGTTTAAAAAATCTGACTTTGAATCATAAATCTCACATAATAGTAAAACTAAACTTTTAAAAAAGCAGTCTCTAAAAATCCAAAGCAAAATGAATACATGGACTAAACTGTTTATGGAGTCTGCTATACACAGAGATTTATTTAAAGTGACTTTTAAAAGCAGTTAATTTGCCTGCCAAATCCAGGTAGGATCAAAAAACTAAATTTTTTTCAATAATACATTATTATTAACAATATTGGAATTGGTATTCTGAAACTATGCCATACAGGTAAAATATAATAGGATAAAGAATATATAGGATATATAGGATAAAGCATCTAATGGATCATTAGAAACCAAAATCCTAATAAGACACAAATATAAAATCACAGAAATAAATATCCTATAATCCAAAGTAAAAATTAGAAAGTTTAGTAATACTTTACAAGCCTAAACCTGAAAATCAGAAATTTCAGTGTGTACTCATTATGAACGTTTCAGCTCTGCCCACTGAAAAGACTTTGTAAACAGTGACAGAGACTACTAGGGGCTGTGTCCAAAAGCCTCAAAAAACATGAAGAGAACCAAAATAACCAAAGATGGAACAATCTGAGCATCAATGAAAATAACTACGATAGATGAAAACACATCAAATTATGTTTAAATTCATGAGTTTATCATAATGACCAGAGTCATGCCCGAATCCCGACTCACAGAAACTATGAGACAATAAAATGTTGTTTAAGCTACAAATTTTGGGGTAAACTGTTTTACAGCAACAGGTAAACTAATACAATGGTATTAAGAGCTTGTTACATTTTAGGTGTGAAAATAGTATTGCTGCTTCAAAAGATATTCTTACCTTTTAAAGATACTAAAATATTTAAGGATGATATAATACAATGTCTGAAATTTACATCAAAATAATTTGGCAGTTGGGGGCAATAAGGAATGAGAAGGAGATATATGAAACAAATGTCCCCAAGAGTTGGTAACTGAAGCCTTCTGATGGGTATGTGGGGTTTTGTTAAACAATTCTTTCTACTTTTGTATATTTTTGAAATTTCTGTGATTTTTTTAAAAGCAAAGCATTAAAGACAAAAATTAAAACAAAGTATAAAACAATATTACCACAACAAATGAGCCAAAAAAAGGCTCATAACAATTTTTCTCACAGAGGACATTTACTTACCTTAATCCCTGCAAGAACAAGATTCTTTGCTAGAAAGGCAAAAGAAAAAGGAATAGCTCAATATTGGGAATACATACTGGATATGTCTTCACAGAGCTTAGTCACATATCTGATTGGATACTTTTGACTTCTTTTTTTAGTACTTAAGTTCCTTGTCTTAAAAAAGTTACAAAATACAGGTTAAAAGTGAAAAAATTAAAATGTGCATAATCACAACACCCAGGAATAATCACTCCTAAAATTTCAATGTATTCTTCCAGATATGTTTTTATGAATACAGTATATGTATGTGTGCTACTTATAATGAATTAATGGATATAGAGAATGATAATTAATGGTTATTAAAATCACAAAAAGAAGCAATGAGTCATTACTGGTTATTTGTGGAAGAATATAACAACATCATGAAATAGTCTTGACAAAGATTAAAAACTTTTGGATCTAATTTCTGTTATAGCAAATATAAGGGGATGAAGTTAAGTTATTTAAACTATCTCACATTGCTCAAAAGTGTCATACAAAATTAGGAATATAAATATTGCTTACCAATTTCCAAACCAAGACCACCCATTCCACTTAAGAAAACATAGGACTTGGCCATCTTCTGCATTGCTGTGTCTCCAAGAACGTACCTCTGTCGACTACATGGAAAACACAATAAAAGACAAAAAATTATTTCACTAAAATTATAATATCTCTTAAAGTTGTTTGCAAATGAAAAGCCTAGGAACTCAATCCTGCCCACAGACTTGTTCTGAATGATTTGCAGTGTTTAAACATTTCTGAATTAAATGCCAAATATATGACATATTTTAAAAAATCAGATAATTTGGCACCACAATCCATATTCCCTCAAGGCAATAGACAGATGGAGTTGAGTAGGAGTTGCCCTGTTTAGGCAGGAGGATTATGTGCTCCAGATTTGCCACAATCAATTCCTTCCTGTTCCTCTCATTTATTACCTCAGTGGCCACTATAAGCATTTGAGTTTGCCATCTCCACCTTAAAACTTTCACTATCAACAGGATTTCTGAGACCCCCATCTCTACATAAAAATGTGAAAATTAGCAAGGTGTGGTAGCACACACCTGTGGTCCTACCTACTCAGGAGGCTGAGGTGGGAGGATTGCTTGAGCTTAATGGTTTGAGGTTACAATGAGCTATGATAATGCCACTGCACCCAAGCTTGGGCAACAGCAAGATCCTGTCTATATCCAGATATAAAGGATGATCTTATCGTAGCAGCTTCATGTCAGAATTCAGAAGTCAGGGAATGTTGTACCTGGCCAGTAACACTGGTTTTTGCCTAAGGATGGAATTTATAAGTGCCTTCTTAGTATCATCACTTCTTCTATTGTTAGTACCATCTGCAGCTTTTTCAGACTTTTTTGTCACATCCTTGGTTTTGGTTCCTGCCCAGCCACTGAACTGCCACTACCTAGGCAACATACCTAGTCTTAGGTTCTGGACTACAAGCCAATCTGAACCCACTGTCTTCCCTAGTCATTCAATAATCATTTAATGAGTATCTTCTAAGACTTAGACATTGTGTCATAGTCTATGACTTAGAAAAGCTCATGGTCTGACAGAGTTGACACACATGTGAACAAATACTATGTGATAATGTGTTTATTTAATAGCAATAAAAATAAGATGCTTTAGGGCTGAGCAGAAAGGATGAGAAGTAACTCAGGCAAGATATCACAGAGCAGACACAGGAGTGAGTTCTTAAAGGATCATTGGAAGGTATTTTTGAAGCACAAAAGAGCATTACAGGAAAAGACAGTTGAGGTAAAAAGGTATAAACTGCAATTACCTATCTTATCTTTGATAAAAGAAGTAGTCTAGTGATGGCCAGTGTATTCAGAGGAAAAGGTGGTTGGGGCCTTCAATAAATGGTGCTGGGAAAACTAGATTTCCAAATGCAAAAGAATGAAAATGGACCCTTATACCATACAAAATAATCAAATCAAAATGAATCAAAGACTTAAATGTAAGATCTGCAATTACAAAACTCCTAGAAGAAAACAGAAAAGAGGCCTCATAACACTGGTGTTGGCACAGATTTTCTGGATGACACCAAAGGCACACACAACAAAAGCAAAAACTGACAAGTGGGACTACATGAAACTAAAAACCAGTAAAGGAAACAATCAACAAAATGAAAAGGCAACCTACAGAATGAGAGAAAGTATTTGTAAACCATGTATGTGATAAGGGGTTAATAATATCCAAAGGAATGCCTATAACTCAATACCAAAAAACCCCTGAACTGACCCAATTTTTAAAAATAGACAGTTTGAATAGATGTTTCTCCAAAAACATGCACATAGCCAACAAGTATATGAAAAGGTGCTCAACACTCGCTAATCATCAAGGAAATACAAGGGAAAACCACACTGAGCGATCACCTCACACCTGTATGGATGACCATTATAAAAGAAAAGAAAACAAAACAAAACATAACAAGTATTGGCAACAATGTGGAGAAACTGGAACTTCTGTGCACTGTTGGAAATGTAGAATGGTGCAGCTGTTATGGAAAACAGTATGAAGCTTCCTCAAAAATTAAAAAATAGAATTACCATATAATCCAGCAATTCCATTTTGGGTATTTATCCAAAAGAATTAGAAACAAGATCTTGAAGAAATATTTGCTACATAAATCTGCTATACGACAATGTACACAGAGTAAACAATATAGCTGACCCTTGAACAACATGGGTTTCAAACGCACAGGTCCATTTATATGCAGATTTTTTTCAATAAATATACTGAAAAATTTTTTGGACATTTGTGACAACTTGAAAAAACTCACAGATGAACTTTGTAGCCTAGAGATATCCAAAAATTAAGAAAAAGTATGTCATGAATGCATGAAATCTATGTACATATTAATCTATTTTATCATTAACTACCATAAAACACACACAAATTATAAAAAGTTAAAATTTATCAAAACTTACACTTACAGACCACAGACGTCGCCATTTGCAGTTAAGAGGAATGTAAACAGATGTAAAGATGCAGTAATCAGTCATAAGTGCATAAAAGTCACTGTAGCACATACTGCACTACTGTAATAATTTTGTAGCTACTTCCAGTTGTTATTGTGATGAGCTTAAGTGATGTATCTGGTTAAAGCGCATGTGACTCTATTCATAATCTTTGCCTGAGCAGTTCCTCTCTCCAGTAAATTGAATATTGCAGGAAAAAGTGATGTCTTGAGGTTCTTGCATATTTTTCCATCATGTTTAATGTGCAATACTGTAAATCTTGAATGACATATATGGGACCCATACAAAGTGCCACCAGTAATGTTGCAAGTGCTCCCAAGAAGCTGAGAAAAGTCATGACATTACAACAAAAAGTTGAATTGCTTGATATGTACTGTAGACTGAGGCCTGCAGCTGTGGTTGCCTGCCATTTCAAGATAAAATGAATCCAGTGGAAGGACCATTGTAAAAAAAAAAAGGAAAGCCATCATTGTAACTACACCAGCAAGTATGAAAACCTTGCACTTTTCGTGAAAGATCTTTTTATCTTGTATTGAAAATGCAGCACTGATATGGGTGCAGAATTGCTGAAACAAAGTCATACTTATAGACTCTAACATGATTTGAGAAGAAGCGAAGTCATTATAAGACCACTTAAAGCAAAAAGAAGGTAAAGGATATAAAGCTGTAGAATTCTTTTTTTCCCATAGGTTACTGGGGTATAGGTGGTATTTGGTTACATAAGTTCTTTAGTGGTGATTTGTGTGATTTTGGTGCACCCATCACCCAAGCAGTAAAGCTGTAGAATTTAATGCTAGCAAAGGATAGTTTGATAATTTTAGAAAGAGGTTTGGCTTAAAAAAAAGTCAGACACAACATGAGAAGCAGTTTCTGCCAACCAAGAGGCAGCAATGAGTTTCTAGACACCATGAAGAAACTCGCTGAAGATAAAGGATATCTACCTGAATAGGTTTTTAATGTAGAAGAAAGTGCTCTATTCCAAAAAAAATTGCCACAAAGGACATTTATTAGTAAGGAAGAGAAGCAAGCACCAGGATTTAACGCAGAAATGAATAGTTAACTCTACTGTTTTGTGCAAATTCATTCAGGTTTATGATCAGGACTGCCCTTACATATAAAGCTCCTAACTCCTTCGCATTGGAGGGAAAAGATAAACACCAGCTGCCAGTCCTCCGGCTACATAACAAGCGGGCCTGGACGAGAACCCCTTTTCTGGATTGGTTCCGTTGATGCTTTGATTCTGAGATCAGGAAGTGTCTTGCCAGTAAGAACTTTTAAAGTTCTTTTGCTATTGGACAATACACCTGGCCACCCAGAACCCCATAAGTTCAACAAGGAAGGTGCTGAAGTGGTCTACTTGCTTCAAAACACAGCATCTCAAATTCAGCTTCTAGATCAGGGCATCATAAAGGACCTTTAAGGCTCATTACACACAGCACTCTATGGAAAGGATTGTCAATGCTATGGAAGAGAACCCCAAGAGAGAGAACATTATTAAAGTCTGGAAGATTATACCATTGAAGATGCTATCGTTGTTACTGACATCAGACAATCAGGCAGAAGGTTCTGATGATTCAAGATTGCATTGATTTCTTTAAAGATATGGACCCTTCTACAACAGGGGCACCAAAAAGAAACTAAAGAAAGTGACAGGAAGATCAGTACTGTATAGAAACATTTTTCCAGAAATGAGAAAGCAAAAAAGTCACACAGTAGTTACATATTTCCATAAAGTTACAGTGTGTGCCTGCCTCTCCTTCCCTACCCTTCTGCCTCCACCTCTTTTGATTCTGCCACCCCAAGACAAAACCAACTCCCTCCCTTCCTCCTCCTCAGCCTACTCAACATGAAGACAACAAAGATGAAGACCTTTACGATAATCCAGTTCCACCTAATGAACAATAAATGTATTTTCTCTTCCTTATGATTTTAACATTTTATTTTCTCTAGCTTACTTTATTGTAAGAATGCCGTATATATATACAGTATATAATACATATAATATTTAAAATGTGTGTTATTTACATTATCAGTAAAATTTCCAGTCAATAGTAGGCTATTAGTACTTAAGCTTTGGGGGAGTCAAAAGTCATATGTGGATTTTCGACTGCACAAGAGGTAGGGTGCTGGGGAGTTGGCATTCCTAACTTCTTCATCGTTCAAGTGTCAACTATACTATACTACACACTTAAAAACTTGTTAGTAGGGTAGAGTTCATGTTATGTGTTTTTACTACAATACTAACTTTTTAAAAGGTAAGTTGGAGTTATGTTCAAAATGACTTGGTAAGCTATAGTATTTGGACTTGTACTATGAAACAAAATGGTCAGAACTGTGGCTGTGTGAAAGAGAATGGAGAGAAAAGAGAACTTCTGGAATTTATCTTTATCTTACCCTACCTTCATCAAGTTCACTACTGACATCTATCTCCCTGAGATGTTAAGAGGCTAAGGATCCTCATTTCATGCCTTGTCCCTAAAATATATTAATCATTGTCCAAAGTCCTAGGTCTAATACTAGTCCCCATAAGCAACAGATACAGATTTTAAAAACAAAAAAATACAGCTGGGCACGGTGGCTCATCACAACTGTAGTCCCAGCACACTGGGAAGCCGAGGCGGGCAGATCACGAGGTCAAGAGATTGAGATCATCCTGGCCAACATGGTGAAACCCTGTCTCTACTAAAAAAAAAAAAAAAAAAACCTACAAAAATTAGCTGGGTGTGGTGGTGCATGCCTGTAGTCCCAGCTACTCATGAGGCTGAGGTAGGAGAATCGCTTGAACTCAGGAGGCGGAGGATGCAGTGAACTGAGATCGTGCCACTGCACTCCAGCCTGGATGACAAAGCAAGACTCCATCTCAAAAAAGCAAAAATACAAAACTCCCAAATCTTCAGATTCAGCCACTACAACAACAACAACAACAACAACAAAAAACACCACCAAACTCTCGAACATGTAAGTTAATTTTTAAAATCTAAGAAAATAAGACCTAGTTTTTGTGTGAAAATCTCACGTTTTGGCCTTTGTAATATACACATCTTTGTATTTCTTTTTTTTTTTTTTGACACGGAGTCTCGCTCTGTTCCACAGGCTGGAGCGCAGTGGTGCCATCTCAGCTCACTGCAAGCTCCGCCTCCCAGGTTCATGCCATTCTCCTGCCTCAGCCTTCCGAGTAGCAGGGATTATAGGCGCCTGCCACCACACCCGGCTAATTTTTTGTATTTTTAGTAAAGATGGGGTTTCACCGTGTTAGCCAGGATGGTCTCGATCTCCTGACCTCATGATCCACCTGCCTTGGCCTCCCAAAGAGCTGGTATTACAGGCGTGAGCCACCGCACCAGGCCACATCTTTGTATTTCTACTAAGAAAACCTATATGTAGTCAGTAACTCTTTTAGTTTTCCCTAATAATTCACTCTTTTAGTACCCACATAAATTTCCGGCTTTATCATTTATTAATGATTCCTGCCCTCACTATGACAAATTCTTAAGGAAGATATTAAAACTCAAATATGCACATTGGTAAACAACTAGATGTTTGCAATACGACATGCACACAAAGTGCACACAACTACACCAAAAGATACTCTCCGTCAAACAAAAGAAAATGGCTTACCTCTAATAATAACAGCTAAACTGCTATATTCTATAACTCTCAGTAAAGCAAACTGCAGCCTACTCACATAGCATTGTAAATGGAAAGTTTAGTCACTGAGCTACTGAAAATTATGTTTATTTATCAGCATTACAGGGTTGGAGGGACATAAAAAAAGTTTCACAAGGATTAAACTAAAAAAATGAATAAAATTAGTCAATACTATCTCAAAGAGGTGCCATTTGTTATATCAAGAAAAACATGACCAAAAGGACATTAAGAATATAATTATAGATTAAGAATCCCAATTTAAGAGTCCACTCTCCCTTTGTGCTTACTATCTTCAGGCCACACTGACCTGCTTGCTGTTTTGCAAGAAGGCAAACTTGCTTTCATTTCAGAGTTTTTACACTATTTCTCCTGCTTAGAATGTTCTTTCTTAAAAATCTTGGAATAGCTGACTTCTTATCACTTAAGCCTCTATTAAAATATTGTATTACAAATATCACACATATCATTCCTGATCACCCTATCAATAAAATGGCTACTCTTATCCTTAGGTCACTGCCTAACTCATTAACCTATCACAGTTTCTTCAAATCACTTACCATTAACTGTTGTCTGCCACTCCTACCAAAAAATGTATGGTCTGTTAAAAACTCACTACTGTAATCCAAATACCTAAAACAGTACCAGGCATTTAATAATAATAGATAACCCTGTGCTAAACACTGTTTTAAGTGCTTTAGACGTACTAATTCAGTTAACCCTTATACAACAACTTAAGGTGACTTCTAAACCATACTTTATAATCAGGAAACCATCTGTAAAATAATTTTCACATGAGCAAGATTGTTAGTCTTTTATCTCTTTTCCCAAGCATATAGTACAAAACAGGATTTGGACTCAACATGCCAGATGGTATGTATTAGCTCCTAATAAAGTGCCCATTATTGACTCTGCATCTTTTTAATTACTTTAAAAAGTATTCAAATTTCATGAAAAAGTGTAGTTTAAAAAGTCTCATCAAATTCCATTCAAAACACAACTATTCAATCATACAATACTTTCTTTAATTACTAAAAAAGCATTCCAATTTACTGAAAAAGGAGAGTTTTAAAAGTCCCATCAAATTCTATTCAAATTACAACTCTTCAATCACACAGTATTTCTCCACTGTCTATAAATTACAGAACAGGAAATAATTATTAATTTTATTAATATTTTTTTTATTATTAATATTTAATAAAATTAATTATTAATTTTAATGAGATTATAATGAAGTAATCATATTCTCTAGATGCTATTGTATGACTAAAGTGAAATATTATTCTTCATGAATTCCTGCACTATCAAGAACTTAAATATGAATTATTGTCCAAAAATGAAAGATTTATTTTGCAGAGGGTGGCAAAATCCTTCTTAGTCCTATCACCTAAACCTAAAACAACTGAGATTTAAATATTATCCGAATGTAGTTAAAAAAAATCACAGAAACCCTAATTTTAACTTGAGAGGAACTCTTTATACATATATATATATAGTGTATGTGTATATATGTATAACATATATATATTTTATATATATATATAATTCCGCATAGGCGGAATGGTATCTTCAAAGAGACTACTTGATTATTTGAGAACAATTAATGAGAAAAATAAGTTTCAGTTTCCATGAGATTCTTACCTGTATAATGCATCATCGATCTCCACAGATGCTGTTGACATAATGGGCAAATTTTTATTTGTGCTGGAAAAAAAAACATGGTTATGAAATATTCACATTTTATAATATAATATTTGATTATTCGTGTGCTCAGATTCAACAGTTACTAAAGGTTTTCACAAACCAAACATACATTTTATTATCTACCACTTTACTTATATTTTTTAAATGGCCTAAAATTATCAGATTGCTTGTTCTCTCCTGTGTAGATTTTAAGATTACAGAGCTCATCATCTTTTATTCTCAGATCTCAGGTGTTGTTTTATCACTGATATAAAAATATATATATATATATTTTTTTTTTTTTTTCCCTTTTTTGAGATGGAGTCTCACTCTATCACCCAGACTGGAGTGCAGTGGCATGATCTCAGCTTACTGCAACGTCCACCTCCTAGGTTCAAACAATTCTCGTGCCTCAGTCTCCCAAGTGGCTGGGACTACAAGTGCATACCACCACATCCAATTAATTTTGTAATTTTAGTAGAGATGCGGTTTCACAATGTTGGCCAGGCTGGTCTTGAACTCCTGACCTCAAGAGATCCACCCACCTTGGCCTGCCAAAGTGCTGGGATTACAGGCATGAGCCACTGTGCCCCGCTGTTTGGTACATATATTCTAATGGATCTGTATTTCAGCAATTGTGTACCATCAACTTTCTCTATATATATACTCTTCCTAGATAAACTCATTCAATCCAATGGATGAATATATATTGATTATAGTGAAACTTATTTCTCCATGTGTGATCTTTCCTCTGACCTCCAGATTATATACAACTGCCAAAACAATAACTATTCTGATGTCTTAACTGGTATCACAAACATAACAAACTCCAAAGAGAATGCAATTACCCCTGCTTAATGTATTCTTCCTGTCTTTCCTAACTCATTTTCTGCTACCATCATTTACTGGGTAGTCCTGAAATCTAGGGATCTTCCTGCTTAAATCATTCCCCAACTTTCTCCATTTGAGACCTGTTAGTTCTACCTTCATAGAAGATCTCAAATCTGATCACTTTTTACTATTTCAATCAGTACAATTTCAAGCCAAACCATCATCATATTTCACCTGAGCTATTTCAAAGACCACCTAGCTAGTCTTCTTACTTCCACCATTGTCCTTCCCATTTATTCTCCATAAAACAGTCTAAATATCTTAAAATGCAGTCAGAAAATATCCCCCGAATTTGGACTACCCTTCAGTGGATTTCCTTTACTCTTAAAATTCAAACACCTCACCATACTTGAAAGGGCCAATGTGTTCTGTCTCCCAATTACCTCTCCAGTTTCAACTCCCACCAGTCTCCTTTTTTGCTTACTATCTTCAAGCCACACCGACCTGCTTGCTGTTTCACAAGAAGACAAGCTTGCTCTTATTTCAGAGTTTTTACACTATTTCTTCTGCTTAGAATGTTCTTTCTTAAAATCTCGGAATAGTTGACTTCTTATCAGTTAAGCCTCAATTAAAATATTGTGTCACAAATACCACACACATCATTCCTGATCACCCTATCAATAAAATGGCTACTCTTATCCTTAGGTTGCTGCCTAACTCATTAACCTGTCAGTTTTTTCAAATCACTTACCATTAACTGTTTGTCTGCCACCACCAAAAAATGTATGGTCTGTTATAAAAACTCACTACTGTATTCCAAATAACTAAAACAGTATCAGGCATTTAATAAATAAAACACTGTTTTAAGTGCTTTAGACGTACTAATTCAGTTAACCCTTACAACAACCTTGCCCAAACAGTGGGCAGGCACTATTGCTATCTCCAATGAACAGATGGAAAAAAGAGGCTGAGGCAGGTTAACTTAAAATTTGCCCAAAGTCACAGAGCAGGCAAAGGCACTGCCAGGATCTGAATCCAGGCAGTCTAGCTCTTGACTACCACACATACTGCCTACTGTCTCTAATAGTAGACCTAAAGGAAGCACTTTAAAAATCTGTTACATGGGCCAGGCACGGTGGCTCATGCCTGTAATCCCAGCACTTTGGGAGGCCAAGGCGGGCAGATCACCTGAAGTCAGGAGTTCGAGACCAGCCTGACCAACATGGTGAAACCCTGTCTTTACCAAAAATACAAAAATTAGCCAGGCGTGGTGGCAGGCGCCTGTAATCCCAGCTACTTGGGAGGCTGAGGTGGGACAATGGCTTGAACCCGGGAGGAGGAGGTTGCAGTTAGCCAAGATCCCACCGCTGTACTCCAGCCTGGGTGACAAGAGCAAGACTCTGACTGAAAAAAAAAAAAAAAAAAAACCTGTTAAATGAATAAATTTTAAAAGAAGAAAAACAAATCTAAATATACAAATCTGACAAAGTATACTTATTATAGCAGCATATTATTTATAGCAGTGCTTGTCTCAATTTTTTCACAGCATGGCCTTCAAAAAACATATCTGTAGGAAACACTGGGAAGCAGAGATAATTTCCAGGTACAGGGAACCAGTCTGGAGCATTTGGAGCTGAACCACTGTGAGAGCTGAGATCAATATACTAGCAGAAGTGCAGGCCATTCCTAGTTCTGAGAAGCTCAAATCGTCAAAGGATTCTAAAAACAGTGCGATGGCATCAAATTCAGGTTTGGAATCCAACTTTCTAGTCCTAGCATTGATAAACAAGCTAAAGAATTTGTAAACAAAGATAATTAAAATGTTATCATTTATCACACCAAACACTGACACATATCAAATGATACCAGCTTCTAGTTAATTAAATGGATAGCTATTAAAAAAACTGATTCCAATTACCAAGGCAAATCAGAAGATAGCTGTGTTCTAAGAGATCACCTATCTAATAAAAAAAACACACACATACACAATATACTCTGTTTGGGCATTGTAACAAAATATTAAAATAAACAAAATTTGTTTCTTTTCTTTCTTTTGAGACAAGGTCTCTCTCTCTGTCACCCAGACTGGAGTGCAGTGGCACGATCTTGGCTCACTGCAGCCTCGACCTCTCCAGACTCAAGTGATCTTCCCATTTTAGCCTCCCGAGTAGCTGGGACTACAGGCGTGCACCACCACACCCAGCTAATTTTTTTGTATTTCGTAGAGACACAGTTTCGCCATGTTGCCCAGGCTAATCTAGGAACTCCTGAGCTCAAGCGACCCACCCGCTTTGACCTCCCCAAGTGCTGGGATTGCAAGCGTTTGAGCCACTGCACCCAGCCAACAAAATTTTTTATTATCTACTTTCCTATCACCTTATCCCTAGTACACTTTCACTTGCTGCTCTCCTTGCATGGCGGGGGCAATAGCCCTAGTGGGTAAATCTGAATAAAAACGAGAAGAGCTACATTCTAACTAGCTCTGCCGCTTAATGGCATTACTGGCACTATTAAGAAAGTTGTACCTCACTGGAATGTTTCAAGAATATGCAAAAATAATATAATCTATAAGACAATCAAAAACGCTTCGAATAAGGCGCGGGTTATATTACATAATATCCCTCAAGTCTGGCAGTGTCTGCAATGGCAGACAATACCATGAAACTGAAAGCATCCCTTCAGTCTGAAACTGGCGAAAAGGCTACAGGTTTACAAAGTGTCACATCAGCTGAAAATAATACATCCATCACTTCTATCTTTGGCATGGTGTATTCTGACAGTGGTGGACAGAATATAACTACCTGCTTTATTAATTATGAGATGATCGAAAGAGGAACTACTAACCAAGAAACTGGTAAAGGCCTGGCACAAATATTTCCCCCCTAATTTTACAGGGGCGGGAAAGCCCTAAAGAATTTCAAAACCAAGTGGGAAATAAGAATGGGTAACTTGTGTATTTTTTTTTCCTGGCTTTTTTTTTTTTTTCTTCCATAGTCAACAGAGGCCTCAGGGTGTCCAGATTGCTACTGATTCATTCTTACCAAGTTCCTTCTGGTAACAGTTTTCAAAAGAGGATCTCAGTGGAGGTGCACAGTGGCGCTCTTCGCTTTCTTTTTACGGAAAGAAGGAAAGGTGCTTGGCACCAGTCGAGGAAGCTCACGCCAAGTGACCGGGACCAGAACTCGCTCTCGGCCGGAGCCCCTCAAGTCTGGTGACTCGGAGGAAGGAGGATCCCGAATCCCAGCCAGAACTGAGAAAGCGCTCAAAGGTGCGGAAAGGGGACTTTTCCTCAGGAAAGCCGGGAACAGCAGAGGCCCTAGCCCACGTCGCCACACCCACTCCGCGCGCCCCTCTCCTCCCAGGGCCGGCTTCGCTCGGCCCCACGGCCTCTCTGGCGCCCCCAGCCCGCCGGAAAGAAAGAAGCAGAAACCTGGAGCCTGGGTCCCACCCGCGACCCCCTCATTTTCACCCGCCTCGTCCTCTCACCTGCCAGTCCCCCAGGAAGAACAGGATGCCTCTTCCCCCTGAGGGGCGGCCACAGGCTTGGATCCTTCCATTGCCGCCTGAGACACCGCCGCCGGCTACGGGGAGGTAGGAAGGAGGCGGGACCGCGGGGGTCAAGGGGCGGGCGGCGACGTCATCAGAGGGGCGGGCCTGGGGAAGCTAGGAGCCCGGCAGCGCCTTCCCGTCAACCCTAGGGGCGTCCTGGTTTCCGGTTTGGGTGTGGCCGCATGGAGTGCTGTGGTGCAGGTGGCCGAAGGGGGCGTTACTGTTGCGACTGGCATCCGCATTCGGCAGATGTAGATGGAACCAAAGTCCAGAGGTTACGCGTCACCCTTGCTCTACAGCCAAACATGCAGGACTCTAGTAACCCGCGAAATGATGGGATTGCGTTGCAGATCCTTAAAAGAGTTTTATAGTAAGAAGAGGAAACAGCTTTATTTTATAAATAAACTGAAGGCTGCTAATAGCTCCAGATTGTCAGTGAGGGGATTCCACTTAAAGATGTTATACATTTAATAAATAATTTTGGGAGTCCACTACATGTGAGGAACTGCCTCAGATTTAATAGAATCATGTGATTTTTAGTGCCATAGATGACGTTAGATCATCCACTTTGGTCCCTCAAATTTGTGGGTAAGGGAAAGGAACTTCCGGTCAGTGCTAGTGACTTGGTCAAGGTCATAGAGCTGATAACTGTTAGATTACCAGAACACATGTCTAAGGAGTTCTCATATAATTCTTTTCATTTACTTCGTGTCACCTTTCTTAGAAAGCAACAATGAGTTGGACACAATAACATTAGGATTTGTCTTTCACTCTAACACTGTATATTTGAATAAACATCTGCAGGATTTTTAAAATTAGCATATACTTTGAGTATTATGTAATTTTCAGTGATGTATCATATTTTTAATTAGAAATTTTTCCTCCCTCATGTGGAGATGAGGGTCCAGGCAAAACTGTATTATCCTTTGTGCCCCTCTACTCTCTTCAAAATTGCACATCTTAAAATACTTGGAAGCTTTATGTTGCTCACCTATAGCATTATCTGTGTTCCTCAATCCGGTTGTGAACATTTTCCACATTAGAATTTACTTGATCTGTGTTGTGTTCTTTCAAGGCTCTGCTCTAGCACTAAGTTTATTCCCTGGCTTTTCTCTTTATTCTAAAGTTAATAAGTAAAATATATTTGGCTAGCCCATCCTACAGATACTGTCAGTTTCTTTGTTTCCCTCCCTCTGCTTTCCCTTCCATACAAATTTTCTTCCTATTTGTTGAATGCCTATTAAACATTAAGAACCTAATGACTAAACAATAAGCAGACAATAGAGATAACATTGCTCACCAGTTTTATCAGGTTCATCGTGGGAAGCCAAAAATAGAAAGTAAATGAAAAATTAATTTAAGAAAGTAACTTTTCTATGAAATAGAATGAGTGTTCCAATGAGCTGAACAGAGAACATTGGCTTTATGGGCAGAAAAGGACTGAAGAAAGCAGAAACAGAACAAAAATCAGATTATTTCAACATTTCTTTCTTTGTAAATGTTAAAACAGAGCATACTTCCTTATTATTCCCACTAGGTTCACTAGAATCTCCTGGGTTTTTTTGTTTTTTGTTTTTTTTGTTTTGTTTTGTTTTCGTTTTTTGTTTTTGTTTTTTAAAACTGGCTCAGTTTTTCAAAATCCACTTTAATTACATGGTGCTTAGCACAAGCAACTCCATTCTGGTTTGACCTGATGGAGCCTCGTGTAGAAGGCTAGTCCAAAACAATGGCCTGCCATTACCCACACTTCTTCATATTTTAACATCCGTGAATAGAGGACGAATTTTTTAAAAATAAATACAGAAAATAATGGTGCATCTTAAAATTGAGGGCATGTTAGATTTGATAAAATACGGTGTTAATTATTTCAGGCATGTAACAAGCAACCAGATTTAACAGATTTTAATGTTTTGTCACATATGTAAAATGGGAAAGAAAACTAGGCTATCACAACTTTTTGACAGTGAGGCTTTATGTCATGAGAAAGTAGAATGACATATTGAGGAAACTTAGGGGGAAAATGTATAGGCCAAGGGTTTTTACATTCAGCAAAACTAACTCATATACAAAAGGTACAAACTGTTTTCAACAATTGATATACCAACATTTGATGAGACTAGTGTTTTCATGAGCCCCTCCTGAATAATTAATTGGAGAAAGAGTGTCTGACAATCAGAAGTATTACAGAAACATTGATCTAAGTATTGACTCAGGTTCTTTACAGCAAATCATAATCTGTTATATTTATTAGCTTTTGTGTTTCTTCTAGTTTATTCATTATTACTAATTCTCCTGAGTTCTGTCACCTCATTTCTGAAGTTTTTCTAATTCAGAATCAAGTTGTTCTTCCATATTTTGCATCATTTCTCTAATGTCATTTAGCTAGTTTCAAAATAATAAACTGTTTTGTAGTGCATCTTTCAGGTATGTTTTTGTTATCTGTGATGATGATGTTATATTCCTTATTCTCTCTTTTCACATAATAACTTTGCATGGGATTTGAACTTTATGCTTTTCTTGTTGCTCTTTTTTTTTTTCTTTTAGATGGAGTCTCACTGTGTCACCCAGATTGGAGTGCAGTGGCACGATCTCAGCTCACTGCAAGCTCTGCCTCCCGGATTCATGCTGTTCTCCTGCCTCAGCCTCCCGAGTAGCTGGGACTACAGGTGCCCGCCACCAGGCCTGGCTAATTTTTGTATTTTTAGTAGAGACAGGGTTTCACCGTGTTAGCCAGGATGGTCTTGATCTCCTGACCTCGTGATCTACCCGCCTCGGCCTCCCAAAGTGCTGGGATTACAGGCATGAGTTGTTGCTCATTTTTATGTGAAATTGATGTTCCTGAACTAATATGAGACAGGCTTCTTAGCCCAATAAGTTTATCAGGAACAAAACTGTATTCTAGAAAGTCAGGTGTATTAGTCTCTTTTCACAGTGTTATAAAGAAATACCCGAGACTGGGTAATTTATAAAGGAAAGAGATTTAGTTGACTCACAGTTCCGCATGGCTGGGGAGTCCTCAGGAAACTTAATCATGGCAGAAGGTGAAGGAGAAGCAAGACATATCTTACATGGTGGCAGGAGAGAAATGAGAGTGCAGGAAAAACTGCCACTTTTAAAACCATCAGATCTCAGGAGAACTCCCTCATTATCACAAAAACAGCATGGGGGGACCGCCCCCATGATCTAATCACCTCCCACCAGGTCTCTCCCAGGACACATGGGAATTACAATTTGAGATGAGATTTGGGTGGGGACACAAAGCAAACCATATCATCAGGTTTACTGGCTCATTGCAAGGAGGGAGCCCACATTCCAGAAGAACCATGGGGTGCCTCACCAACAGAGGAAGAGATAGATTTATTGTAGGAATTTGGGGAAGTATGGAGTTTAGAAGGAATTAAAATGAAGTAGTACTTTGATAGACTCAAAAGAAAGCAAGGCTGTTTGTAAAGAAGTCTACGCTACACCTAAACTATTAGTAATGGCAAAAACCGCAATTACTCTTGCACCAACCTAATACCAGATGGACCCAGGGTTCTGTTTTTTGGAAAGTGCAAAGTTCTGCCTATCAGAAGTAGAAGCTATTTCTCTGTGTCAATATGACTTTAGATATTCTAGCCAAGAGTGAGATATTTCAACCTTAATAATAGGATTTACACAGTAGAGTTTTTGACAATCTTTTGATATTGTCATAAATTCTCTATGATTTTAGAGAAAAGGGCATTGTGGGAGTAAAAAATCAGTAGTTCCTCTAAGGGTATGTATGTATGTGTATGTGTGACATTTTGAAACATCTTCCAGAGAGAAATATTATTTTCTGTTAATTTCACAGCTGGCTTTATTTATGCCTGTTATCCCATACCTGATGAATGGCAAAGCAGATTTTTACTTTCTTATTCTATGCTTATTTGATTTCTCTCAGGTTTGGGGAAAACTTTTCTAATTTCAGGGAATTCCCTTTTCTGTTGCTTTTATGTAATGTTCAACAATATTATGGTTTTATTTCTTTTTAAAATTAATACATACATAATAAGCATATGTTTATAGGGTATTTTGATATTTGCGTACAATGTATAATGATAAAATCAGGGTAATGGGGATATCCATCACCTCAAACATTGTTCATTTCTTTGTGTCAGGAACATTTCACATCTTTCCTTCTAGCTATTTTGAAATACACGATAAATTATTGTTAACTATAGTCACCCTCTAGTGCTATCGAACACTACAAATTGTTACCTCTATCTAATTGTGTTTTTGTGCCCATTACCCAACCATTTTCATCCTCCTTACCCTCAACCTTCCCAGCCTGTAGTAACCATCATTCTACTCTCTACTGCCATGAGATCCACTTTTTTAGTTCTCACTTATAAGTGAGAATATGCGCTATTTGTCTTTCTATGCCTGGCATTTCACTTAACAATGACCTCCAGTTCCATCTATGTTGCTTCACACTACATGATTTTGTGTTTTTGTATAGATGACACATTTTTAAAATCCATTCATCTGTTGATGGATACTTATATTCATTCCATATCTTGGCTATTGTGAACAGTACTATAATAAACATGGCCATGCAGATACCTTTTAAATTTATTGAATTCCATTTTTGTATGTATACTCAGGAATGGGATTGTTGGATCATGTGGTAGATCTATTTTTAGATTTTTGAGAAACTTCCATATTGGTTTTCATAGTTTCTGTACTAATTTACATTCCCACCAGCAATGCACTAGT